ATTTGCCAATATTTTGGCATATTGCTCCATCAACGCTTAGAACATAAATAACAGCTTCACTTGACCAATTTGTTTTGGCCTTCTTCAGGGTCATCGAGGTCATAGGCCATGTTGATCAACGAATAAAGCTGTGCTTTAACCTCTTTAGCAGTGTTAATTTCTTAGACCAACAACTTCCATCATAGTTTTTGTCAGAAATCTTTTTTTTCTGATAAAAAAAAAAAAGACATCAGGGACAAAAACCATGATATAGTGGACTGGCAATGTTCTGGAGAAACGAAACCATTCAGAATGAAGTACATTGTGTAGAAAGGCGGGACAAATGTGGAAGTGATCCAATCAGAAGTCAACAGTCCAACAATTTCCTCAGACATGCACATTTTATCCTGGAGGGGAAGGTCCCATGCTCCTGTTTCTCATGAAAACACCCCACATGTTATACAAACACATTTCACATTTGATGTCAGAGAAAGTTAGACCCTTTGTAGTCCATGTGGGGCAACTCACGCTTGTAAAAACACTACAAACTCACACAATATTTTAGTCACCTGAATCAACTTTTTTTGAGTAATCTTACCATATATAGGCAATTAAAACTAAATGAATCGAGATGCATAAACTATATTTAAACCGTTTGTTCTTTGACATTCACCTCTGAAGTCAAAACCTTCATTTTGTTCTCACAACGTATAAAGAAATGGGAGTGGCTCAAGACTTTTGCCCAATGCTTTAATTCAGTCTTTTATAACGTATTTGAGGCGTGTGTGACCTGCACTTTATTGATAGACTACGTGGTTTAATCAGAATTGTAGCAAGTCGGCCTCACGAGGCCTTCTTGTTTTAAAAATGTGTCTTAATTGTAATATTTAATCTTCTGCAATGAAACCACAGGCTCTGTAGCTTATTTCTACTGTTCAGCAGGGGGTAAATACACTACTGTTAACAGTCTTCTTCTCCTCTCGTACTCAGTAAAAACTTTCCTAATGAGTTTGTGGTCTCAGTCACTTGTTTCAAGCCTTATTAAATACAGCATGGTGTTTGTTTTATATAACACGAACACACTGAGAGAAATCAATCAGTCAGTCAGTCTCAGTCAGATCTACTCCTCACTTGTGACGCTCAGAATGAAAAACCTGAGACGACGACAGCCATCGCTACTGGGTGACATCGCCATGGCTACATCAATCTTACAGGCACAAAACCTCTGTGGCTGGTTCACATCTGGTTTTCAGTGACAGTGTTGTCCCACGTCCTCACTTCAGTAAATAATACATTCTTCAGCAACAGCAACAACGCCCTGCCCTACAGCCAGAATGCTTCTATAATAACTTGCTCTATTGCTGCCTGCCTTCAAGGTTTGATGTGCTTTCAGAGAGAAGCTCTTCTGCATACCTTGGTTTTATTGGGTGGTTCTTTGGGTTACAGTTGCCTTCCTATCAGCTCAGTGGAGACTGGCCATTCTCTTCTGATGTCTGACATAAACGAGGGATTTTCTCTCAGAGAACGGCCGCTCACTGGAGATTTTCTCTTTTTTAGACCATTTTCTGTAAACCCTAGAGATGGTTGTGTGGGAAAATCCCAGCAGATCAGCAGTTTCTGAAATACTCAGACCGACAACCGTAAATTGTCTTTCTTCCTCATTCTGATGCTCAGTTTGAACTTCAGCGAGTCATCTTGACCATGTCTGCATGCCTAAATGTGTCAAGTTCCTGCCATGTGAGTTTAACAGTTAAACAGTATAGTTTGTGTCTGGTGGCAGACTGACGTCATTATTAGAATGGAAATTCACCATGAATATAACATTTTTCACACAGAACAGTAAAATAAAAATAACAAATAATACGCAAGCACGTTTATGCACAGAATTTAACCTAAAACTGCTGCAATGAACAAAGGGCCAGCAAATTTAAACTCTACACCGTACGCGGTGATTTAAAAACAAACAACAACAACTTAACAGTCTTAGCCCTTTGTCAGTTTTCGTCTGCCTCTTTGATAAACCCAAGGAACCGCATGAAGAATGCATAAAAACAACAGGATTTATCTTGTAAATATTTTACACCTCAGTCAGCCATGAAGAGATTCCCTAAACAGGGACGAGCACACTTCGACTGTTTTCCAGAAAGCACATGGCAACTTTAGATGTCTCTGTCATGTGTTTTCCTCCTGGTATATTTTTATTAAACTCATGAAATTCTGACTGGGCTACAAGATGATTGTGGGGGGGGGGCTCACAGATAAAGAAAGGTGAAGATTTGAAAAGAAAGCAGGAAGACAAATAGAAAGGCAGGGCAAAGAAAGATGGAGTGAGTTGTGTCAAATGGATAAATGTCAGCAGGAACTTCATCATCTGTCTCCCTCCCGAAGATGCCATGTGTAAATTGCGTAGCCGGGGCCCTCAGCTAGCCTTCCCCTAGCGCTGTAATAAGATTAGAGACAGCAGCAGTCTCTGCCTCTCTCCTTGTGTGTGCGAGGGACTATTGAGCCCGTGTGGAAGTGTACAATTTCGATGGCTTACACGGGGCGCCGGCGAATAAGCGGGATTACTCACACCACCAAACAAGACTCATGGTGGAAGATTTGGATACTTATTTATCACTCCACACACACACACTCGCAGACACACTGTGAACTTTTCTTTTTCCCCACCACGTTTTGCTGTGTGGGTCACTTTAATGAGATTCCTGCCTGTACAGTAATAGCAGTCTCTGCAGAAGCCCTGAAACAACATTACAGGAGATTAAAAGACCATTAAGTGCGATACGTTGACTCTAAACTCATTAAAAGCATAATCCCTGCAGGAATATGCTTTCCTATATTCCTGCAGCTCTTTTTTATAATTAAACATTTGCACTGTGGGGAACAATATAGGAGGCTATCAGCACCGCTCCTCGCTCCCGTTTGTTAGCACATGATGTTTACACCACGGCTTCGCCTCTCAGACTAGTCTTTCAGACCTTCATCCAAATCTAATATACCCATCCATAAATAGCTCACCTATCGAGCCCATATTTGGCGTGAGTGACTGGACACGGGAGCCAATCCTGCCCGGCGAAACCCCCCCTCCAACCCCGCCTCTGCACGCTCTCCCAGCCGCTCTAACGCCTCCCGAACCGCCCATTCGCCTTAAATGGGGCTTGACTGACAAGCCGAACCACGCCCCTTCGTTTACCAAGCCCCACCCCCTCCTTCGGTTCCCCTATCGCGTGTCTATTTTGGCAACACGGATACGCATGGAGCCTCCATCACCTCCAGCCTCCTCTTTACGCACCGACTCCCGAGAATGCGCGCAGGTACGGGGAAGCCAGCCGCCTCGCTCAGCCGTTAACCTCCCTGTTTAAGGACTAATATGAAAGAAGTGGATTTAGAGGTCTGACAGAGCCCAGAGAGGAGGCACATACACACATATATAGATTTTTCCTCTTCTTCTCCTTCTTCTTCTGCTTCCCACCCCCTTCCCTGTGGATCATTCTTGTTTTCCCATCACCAGAGCTTAAAGCATGGATGTCTTGGCAAACCACAGTATCTTTCAGGAACTTCAGCTCGTGCACGACACCGGCTACTTCTCGGCCATGCCTTCGCTGGAGGAGAACTGGCAGCAGGTACGTGTCAACTTTCAGCTTTCAGCATCGGCTGTGCCAGCTTCAGCCGCGAGCTCGCAAATTTGCGCTCGGGATGCACAACTTTTAAAGAAAAAGAAGAAACACGCACTCGTGTATCTGGCAGGTTTTTCCCGATAAATGAGCAAAGTGGATAAAATGCGGACGCAAAGCGGCGCGTAATAAAGCTGTCAAATATGATGTAAGGGGAGGTGAAGATGAGCACTCGAACAGGGAGTGAATTAGACGTAAATAACAGATTTGCAACCTTCAGATTACTCAGGTTTGAACCCTCGTGCACGAAAAGAATTCCCCTCTCCTATCCATAATAGATCCCCCAACGCGTCTGGCTCTGTAGCAGCATTAACGGAAAGAAGGAGGTGAGGGAAGAAGCTGTCACCAGTAATTTCCACATTTTTTTAATTTGTTTATCTTTTTTAAATCCCCCTTTTGCTTCATCAAATTCAGCGGGTGTCTACGGAGAGATGCTGTGTAAAGCTCTGGGTTTCACGCGGCCACATGGCGCCGGGGTGCGCGGAGAGACTTCACGCCATCTGCGCTTACGCGTCCCTTCTTCTTCTCCTTCTTCTTCTTCTTTAGTTTGTAAAACTGTTTAAAAAATGGCACCAGAGCTGGGTTTATTTATTCATTGCGTGGTGGTGAGGATGGTGTGGGTGTGTGTGTTAGAAAAAAAAATCTGCAAATCTGAGTTTTTTTTTTTAACGAACAAATGATTCATTTTTACATTTTCCCCCTTCGCTGCTTCAGTTTGGTGTCCCCCTGTCACTCAGAGGAGGGACATCTTCCCCCCAAACATGCCTCCTACTTTCCTCTTTTCCATTTGTGTGTCCAAATAAGAGCCCACCTGCATTGCTGTTGCTGATGCTGATGCTGGAGAGGATGCTTTCCATGCTGCACTTGAATTACCGGACAAGGAGGGGGAGAAAAAAAAAATCACAGCACAGAAATCTGATGCCGGTATTGTTCATGAAATATGAGCTTGAGTTTTTCCCCACTTCTATGCTCCACGAGTAAAGGGAGGGAGGGGATGGAGAGAGAAAGAGAAAGAGAAAGAGGGAGAAACCGGTGCGTGACTGGTTGTGGCCAAGCAGCCTAATTGGCATCCTACTGTTAGCCACCGACGCATCTTTTCATAACAAGTCTCCAACTCCCTGCCTTTCCTACTGTCAGGGGATTTTTTTTCTTAAATTGCATGTGGGGGGCATCATATGGAGTGAATCTCTCTCTCTCTCTCTCTCTCTCTCTCTCTCTCTCTCTTTCTCTCTTGCTTCTCACCCACAGCCTGCATTTTAAAATCAATACCTAATGCAAATGGAAGAGAGAAGACAGCTGGATATGTGGGCAAAGCTCTTCTCTGTGAGGGTGGGAAATGTCAGCTTTCTTTTATTGGAATCGCTGTTAATGGGCTCTGTTTGGTCTTTGACTGTTTTAGATTTAGATCAGCTCGTTTTTTACCAGGATGTCTGGCATCATTTTGTGTGATTAGCTGTAGTTTTGGGATTTTTTTTAAATGGTAAACGTAATTTCATAGATGAATTCTGTGATTGAATCTGCCCTCAGCCTGGGCTAAATGGAGAGATCAAACTGACCGTGACCTGCCTTTCTTCTTGCTAATACAACTCTGGGACCTTGGTGATGTTGCCTTGCCTGCAAATTGCCCACATGCAGTGTAGTTAAGTTAAAGTTAGCTGGCAAACTTCAAACCAGAGGCATTAAACAGAGAGACAAAAAAAAAGACAAATACTAAATAATGCCTCGAGGCGACTGTTGTTGTGATTTGGCGTAATATAAGTAGAACTAAATGGAATTGAATGAAACTACTACAAGATAGCGCTAATACTTAAAACTTTTTAAACTTTTTAAACTGAACCCAGGGCAGTCTCTGGGGGTTGCTTAGGAACCCCCACACCCCCACAAAGGGGGGTGTGGGGGTTCCACTTTTGCACACTTACAATAAACAGCTAGTACGACTCACCTCCTCTTAAATTGATGTTACTTGTTTTGTAAAAGATTTGCATATTTTACTTTCTCATAAGTAAGGTTAACTTAATGTAGAAATGTAACTGAGAGAGGTTCTACTTTTTAAAAGTTCTTTATTTTAGTGTTTTTGACTGGAAGTAGCTCCATTGTGTCTGGTCTAACAAGTGAAAGATCCTCGCTTTGGTTTTTGGTAGGCAACACAAATCCAGAGATGGCTGCTGACTTTTAAGACTTTGTTTCTAGAAGAATTTCCACAAAATGGAAATGCTTGTTGGCCTACTAAGGTGTAAGGCAGGCGGTGTTAAACATAAGGCCCGGGGGCCAAAATTCACCTGGCAGAGACTCCAAACCAGCCCAGTGGATGGCTTTGGAATATGTGAGGGAGGACATAACTTTTGGACTTTTAACTGTATTTTCACAAGTTTAACAGCTTTACGTACCGATAAAGACATCCAAAATGTCCATTTACAACACACCAAAGAAATGGAATTATAGATTTTTGTAATTTAAAACATTTACCTCTTCCAATTTAAGTCCAAAGAGTCCTGCACTTCTTTTTTCTTATATTAAGATGTCTCACTGATTAAATGTGTACCTCAGTTTCTGAAACTGGAGTTTCACCAGTCCGGCCCACATAGGATCAAAGTGGTCTGTATGTTGCCAGGCATGTAAAATAAGTTGGATATCTGTAAATCATGTAATGATGTGCACAAATGAAGCTGTGTACAACGTTTCATTTCTGTTGTAACAGTTAAGAGTTGGGTGTAGTCTCTCAGAATGAAAATTACCGAAATCTATAATTTAATTACTTTGGTGTATTGTGAATGGCCATTTTAGAGCTCTTTATGAGTAGGAAAAGCTTTAAATCCTGTTGAAATATAGTTAAAAGTCCAAAATTAATGCCTTCCTTCACATTTTCCCAAACCATCCAGTGCCTTTGGATTCTGGCCTCCAGGCCTTATGTTTGATGTCTCTGGTGTATAAGCTGTAAATCATGTAAAGATGGGCGCAAAGCGAAAGAACATTTTCCTTCTATAGTAACAGTTTAGAGTTGGGGGCAGTAACATTGTCAAGTCCAACTCAAGTGTGTTGTCATTATCCCGACTCTCAGGCATGCAGTTTTTACAGTCGCCTCTCAGTTGCTCTACACGATGCATGCTTTCCTCAAAGCATTCAAAGCCTCGAGCCCCATTACAAATCACCGGAGGAGAAGGTTTCTTCTTCTTTCGGAAAAACTATCTATAGTTTAGATAAGAAGATCCCTGCAGCCTTGAGAGCAAAAGGATTTGAGCTTTGCAAATCGATCATTGTGCTCATCGTAACAGCATGAAGATGCCACTGAGCTCCCCTGAATACAGGAATTATGAGCTGTGGCTCGCCTTAAAAGCTCCGTCTCCAGCCGAGGCCCTGCAGTTTGAGCGGTCCCCTCTGTATTCCGGGCACAATTTAGAATTCGATGCTTTTACGGCGGCCTGATGGCGAGATAGGAGGCCGTTGTTGTCGGCCCCTAAATGGGTCCCTGAGACGCGATGGCAAGAGTGATGACTGTGTCCCCTGTTGGTGTCTGCGAGGCATGATTCAGCCGGTTATAGGGGGATGGGGAGAAGAAAAGCGGTAAAGTGTTTTTGGAGGTCTGCAGATGGTACATTTGAGGCTGCTATTTGTTCCATTATTGAACCTAATAGTGCCAAGCTGAACTGCGCGCTGTCTCACTTCCAAATCCCCGTACAGTTGGCTGTTCAGAGTTGGAACAAAGTGCGGGGCTGAGCTGGATTTGGAACAAGCAGAGCCGGTCAGAGCGCACTTATTATTTGTGGGACCCAGTTTCTCTCAAAGCAAAGAGCGCACGTGTTATTCTGCTGTCTCGCTGTCTTGGCTTCTCTTTCCCGTGCTTGTTTAGGCTTCTTTGTAAACTGGCATTTTGGTCAGAGAAAGCCTTGGTTGGCTTTCGCTGTCGGTTTGCCAGCATCTGTAAAAAAAAAAAGAAGAAGAAGAAGAAGAAAAAAAACATCTGGATCAGATTTCAGGTCGACATGATGGATTTTTCAGTCTCTGCTGATGACGTGTCCCAGTCCACCGCACCTGACCCTGATGGGCAGGATTGTAACAGGACACCACTGATGGCTCTCGGTCATTGACCTCGGGACACACTTTATACGCTCCAACACATATATTATCCCTCAGAGGTTCAGCACACACACACACACACACACACACAGAGTACGCACATGTAGTGCGACTGCCTGCACAAGCAAAATGTCTGCACGTTGCTTGACGGTGCATTATGGAGCTCCTATATGAGGACAGGCTGTTCATGGCAGGCGCAACCTCCATAAGCGAGCCCGCCTGCTCAGATGCATCCACTTACATCCAACTGGCAGCGGAGGCGACTCCGTCTGGGACTGAGTGGTGGGGTGGGCGGAGGATAGAGGTGGAGGAAGTTGCAGAGCATGCACATTCTCTCCACTGCAAGATTTTGCATTTCACAGTCTGGTGGGTTTGAACCCCACCCCCCCACCCCCCCCACCCCAGGAGTGAGGCGCACATATAGAAAGACAATCAAAAGGGTGGAGAAGCAGGATGTCCTGATGCACAGAAGAAGTAGGGATGCCGATGGATGGAGTCGTTTCACATTTTGAGTCAGAGGGAAAAGTCGCACCACACTGGGCTCGTTTAAGCTGGAGTCAGGGCCAGAGAAACATAGAAAAAATACCCCCACTCACCCCAACACCAGCCTCCTCTAGAGAGACAGCGGTGAGGACTGAGAGAGCGAAGGAACCGCGCACATCCATACGCATCCACGTACAGCCTTGGATATGTGTGTGTGTCCCAGTAAGTTATGTAATCCTCAGTAGGCCACAGCTGCTTTCTCACACACAGCAGACATGCTGGGGAGAGCAGCCAACTTGCGCTCCCGCCGCCCACCTTCCTGTCTTCCTCCATCCCTGGTTTCCCCCTTTCTCTCCCCCCCTCCCCCCCTTATTTTCTTCCTGCTTATAGAT